CTGGCCTCTCTGTGTGAAGGACCAGAGTCTCATTGTAAAGAGATACAGGAAGGTCAAGAATGGGGACCATGTTTATAATCTCTGCCACAGAAAGGTAGCCAGCTAGGAAATTTCTTATCAGTTTCTTTCCAAAGTGATCACTTTTCAATCTTGACATCTAAATAAATTTATCAGAAAGGTTTTCAGGGAACCAGCAGGTGGTGTAATGGCTACATCACTGGACTCCTATGTAGTCAACCGTGGTTCAAGTCCCAGACCTGGTGGCTTAAATTCACACCAGGCATGTGTGTGTGTGCATGCCCAAGATTCCAAGAGAAGAATGGAGGAGAAGGGAATGCAGTGTGGCCACCCCCGGGGAGTGATCTCTCACTTTCTGTCTCTCTCTATCTTTCTGGCAAGTGAATGTGCCCTATAGCAAAAACCTCTCAAAAAAAAAAAAAAAAAGAAAGAAAGGTTTCCAAAAATGGAGTCATTTCTTCTTCCAGAAAGAAGAATTCCTTCCCCACCATAAAAGATTTTCAATAAGAAGCTGAATTCTATGGCCATAAAAATGGCAGCTGAGAGGATAAGGTTCCCCCTAGCCCTGAGAGCCAATGTTTTCACATACTTTATCCCTCTCTTTCCAGATCAGCAAAGACCCGATTTTTGTACCAGGTGTCTGGGGGCCCTATTTCTCCGCCATGGTCCCTGGGTTCTGGCTGAATGAAGGTGGTCAGAGCGTCACTGGAAAATTGGTAAGTTGATCGTTTCTTAGTAGGGTCATGAATGTTCTTAAACTGACTAGGCCATTTTGGCACATTTCTGGCATCCACTCAGTATCTGCAAGATTTGCAGGCTCCTAATTCAGAATTAACGTTTTCTTAGTACACAGTCCCACCTCGGGCGCATGTGCTTGCTGAAGGAATAAATGTTGCTCCGGGAAGTGGTGATTGTCTTTCCTTTTCTCCTGGTATCTCTCCACACACATTCATGTTCCTTGCAGTAGTAGAGTGATATTCTACTTTGTGGAAATGACCATTGGTGCTTACAGCACGAATCCGTTAGTTGTTCACCATATCTCTTGAGACAGGTCAGACAATTTTCTGGGCACACTGTACCCTTCATGTCTATAATGTCAGATTACCCTACTCACAGCTTCCCTGTGACTCATGATATTCTACTCTCTCCTTTTGTATATACTTCTTTTTCTACTTAGAGTATTTTTTCTATCACTTCGATAGTTTTATTTATCTTTTAAGACATAGCTCTAATTTTTATTGCACTCTATTATTCTTGTTAGTTTATTAACCAGTCTTTTCCAGAAAACTATCTGCTCCTTAAAGACAAAGGTCATATTATACTTTTCTCTGTATTCATCTCAGTGCTTGGTTCACAGAAAGTACAAAATAAAATTTTGTTGATTTACTGGCGTTCTCTAACAGGGGTGACAGAAGATCTATAGAAATGTGATGAGTACCATAATAGAAGTATAAAATACAAAGCTGGCACAAAGCTAGATTAGGGAACTCTTTGCAGGGGATAAACCATTTGTGCTGGGCCTTAAAAGATAAATAGGGATGAACTAAGCAAAGAAACATAGGCATAATCTTCTAGGCAGAAGAATTTGCATGGGAGGAAAGACATGAAAGGGAAAAATAACAAAGCATATATAAGGAGCATTTCAAATAGTCCAGAATTTCAGCTGTGGGAAAAATTATTTTTAGAAAAAATGGCTTACAATAAAAGTTAAAGAGTAAGGGAGACACCAAATTTTAAATTCTGTAAAATACACTAAGAAATTGAATTTCATCTAGTAGACCAAGGCAGAATCTATGACAGTTTGGCAGAGTAGGTGACCATATTCATATCTCAGTTACTTAGAACAAACAACAACAAAACACTTACGAGCCATAAGGAAGTAGTCCTGAGTACACGTGGACAGGGGCAGGTCAACTAGCTTTCATAGGTTAGTCTACACACAACAAGTCATGAAAGCTTGAGTAAAGATGGTGAGATCGATCACTGGGGATTGAGGCAAAGAGATCAACATGGCCTCTGAGAGACTGGATGGAGAATACAAGGGAAAGTGAGACTTAGCATCTACGACTGTGCTATATGGAAGATACCTGTTTATTATCTGCTTAACCTTCTAACTCTTCAGAATGTTCAACCAGATTAAAAATGATCTGATTCAAAGCTGAATATGGATGCAAATAATCATTAGTTTCCATTTCGTGGTGTATTAAGTTATTTCATACTTAACTACCTCAAATTCTTTCTCAAGGTAGATGGAACCACAGATGGATGGATAGATTGGAAGAGCATGTTCTGTGCCCTTTGCTCTTGTGTCAGGCTGCAGAAATGAATGAAATGAATCAGATCTCATCAATCCTTGGTTTTAAAGAGCTCATACTCTTGTAGGGAAGCCCCAAAGTATGAAATAAATAATATCTGATTAGTCTTAGTAACCAGTGGTAGTTAAGTTGAGAAGGAAGGAAAACATCTTGGGTATGTAAAGTACAATGGTACTGGAGGCCACTTTTCATTCCCTTATTTAAATGGGTGCTATGTATGAACACAACCCTCAAGTTAGATAGCCTTTCTCCTTCTGTGGCACACTGAAGACCTGTTGATGAAATATAGCCCTTTTCAACTCCTTGTCATAGAATAATCACCCTGTGTCCCCAGATCTATGAGTTCTGTTTGTTCATTTAGAGGTCATCTAGGAGATCTAGAACTCATAGATGACCTTTAAACAAACAAGCAAACAAGCAAATAATAATAAAAAAAGAATAAAGATGCAGTAAAAGAGTTCTTTGTGCAGGATATATTGTTTATGAATCTCCTCACTGACAAGTTATCAGAGAGCTAGTATGCAAATCAAACATCTCTATCAGTTAAAAATCCTTTCCCCAGTACATATTTGACTAAAAATTTGCTGTGTTACCGTGGATATATGTCATCTTCATCCAAATGTTACAACGTATCTTGTGGACAAGAATCTATTACTCCTATGTCATGAGCCTGAATTTAAATTTGAAAATATGACTTCTTTTGTGCCATTACTAAAAAGTGTTCATGATATTTCACTATAGTTTTTAATAGAAGTATGCAAATTGTTAGCCTTTATCAATTTAGTTAGCTTTGGACCATTAAGAAGTCAAGCTGCATTTGGAGCTCCACCTTGGACAATTCTGCATACATAACATAGACATAGGCATGGGACATGATGGACCTATGGGTTCCTAAGAGCACAGTCTTAGGAAAACTCCAAGCTAAAATAATGGGACAAAATCTGAACTGATAGCCAATATACTTTCCAGAAAAACATCAGCCCACAAAGGCCAAGCAAAGAGATGGAAGTGTCTAAAGAGAAGTAATAATAATAATAATAATATTAATAATAATAATAGGGCCAGATCAACAACCTAGAGGTTAAAGGAGCCAGGTCTTATATAGCCAACCATGGTTCAAATCCTGGGCCTTGTAGCTTGAAAAACACACCAGGCACATGTGCATGTGTGTCTAAAAATGCCAACAGGATAGAAAAATGGAGGAAAAGGGATTGCAGCATGATCACCCATAGTGGGGTGCTTTCTCCCTCTCTCTGTCTCTAGCTGGCTAGTGCACGTGCCCTGTGGTAATTTCAAAAATAATAACTACTGCATATAGAATGTTTTTTTCCCTGTGAGAAGGATTTATTAATACATACATAATCTTAAACAATGATACTCATAATAATCACAATGGCTAATTTTATTTTGAAGATTTTTTCCCAGTCTTATATCTAAGAAGTTTTCATGTACTATCTTATTTAACCCTCTAAACATCCTTATGAGGTAGATACAGTTTTTAATCTATATTTTATAGATAGGGAACTGAAACTGGGTAGCAAGCACAGCCTGGAGAGGTTCCTGACTCACCATTTAAGAATTTTTTTTAATTCATGTATTTTAATGTTTCAGAGAGCACATGCACTCACATGCGGGGGAGGGGAGATCTCAATAGGATCTTTTTGTACAGTGATCCCCTTTCCCCCAGCCCTTCTCCTCTTCAGGATCTCACATACTTGCTCTGAATACTCCAGGTAGACTGAACTAAAGATCCAAACTGCAGCCAGCCATGTGACTTCACAAAGACTGGGCCAATGGGCTTTTTACGTGGTTCACTTGCCATTCAGCTTCCCTTACCAATTGCAAATTCTGGTCTACTCTTTTGTGAATTTTGATCTCTGGTTTTAAAATACAATGTGATTATATAGGGCCCTCTGAGAGGATACTGGGACATTTCTACTCTTTGTTCCATAGGTACAGTTTCTCTAATAAGCCCTATCTGAAAGTGTCTGCTCCAGGAATACATTGTTCACAGTGTAGACGTTTTCACACAGTCACAAGTAAACACATAATATATTCTTCTAACATAGAAAGGAGAAGGGAAAGAAAATGGAAAACACAAGTAAGGAGGGGAAAGAAGAGAAAAAAAATAAAAGAAAAATAAATTTAAAAATGTAAATTGTAGGTGCCAGCAGGTGGCATGGTGGTTAACGGTGATGAACTCCCACATGGCTGACAGCGGTTCGGGTCCTGGAGCTGGTGGCTTGCTTTCTCACTTTTCCTGTTTCTCTTTCTCTCCTTCTGTCCCTTTCTGGCCAAATTAAAATAAATAAATAAAGTTAAATAAAAATAATTCTTTTAAAAAATATAAGTTGTAGATTTAAATAAAATGGTATTTTGTCTCCTTTTTTTCAATTTAATAGAGATCTTCTATCAGAAAACAACTGCTTTGTTCCAAGTATGTGAATAGATTGGAATTTAATTTTAAAAATGTTCATCTGGTTATCTTCAGGATGAAGAAAAAAAATGGGTAGGGTCTTTCCTGGCTCTGGAGCCCTTGTAGATTCACTTTACTGAGAATCAGACTCATTTTGTACTCATTTCAAGCTTGTACTGCTGATAATTTATTTCTTCTTAGAAAGGTGCATGCTCTCTTCCCATGGTTGACTGATTTAGTGCAACACCAAGCACTTATCGAGGGCTGTCTCGTGTTTGCCGATACTCTCTCCAGGATAGTTGTGCAAAAAACATTGCTTTTTGCCCAGACTTTTTCCACAGAAAACTGGCCCCAAGCAACCACTGCATCCAGATGCTGAAGCTTGTTTCCATTGGACTTTGGCCATCCTTCCCTGCATGTGCTCTTCTCTGTCAGAGTTAGAGTCATTTTACTGGGAAAAAGCATTCAGTATGGGAAGCTAACCCAAGTTCCTAAGACATCCCTTTGGTGACATGGGCTTTCCAGTACTATTGGTCTTGGGTTAGGAATTACCTTGGAATTGCTTGAACCCAGAATTGAATTTATGAATGTGAGTCACAGAGGTACCACGTGGCAAGTTTCTGTGTGCTGTTGGAATTTTAGGTTTTGTGCCTAGTGAGTGCCTTCCTGCCTCCTCCCTTGTTTCCAAGGCTGCTCACTAGGCACTAGTCACCTGTGAAAGTCAGTCTGCCATAACTGGGTGTCTGAGTAACTTGCACTGAGTACAGAACTGTGCAGGCTAAGGAGACAGTGATTTCATCCCTTCATTTATTCACTCATTCCATCTCATAGAGATTCCTGAGTGATTCTGGGCCAGGCAAGAATGTGATCACTCCAGTATTCTTCATCAATTAAGAAATTTGGGGGACTAGCAGTTGGCAGAATTATGACTAGTCGACTGCGGTTTGTGTCCCAGACCTGGTGGCTTAAATTCACGATGGACGTG